AAAATAAAATACAAAATCAAAAGGAAGATAATAAATATTGACTTTATTAAATAAATATTGAATTGTATAAGACTTCCAAATAATATATTTTCAAACTCAGGCTTACTTTTCAAAACACAACTTTTTAATTTTTAAATTTGAAATGGCTATACACATGTCCTGATCAAGACTTTTTAATGATGATCTCTTTGAATTCTTAGTAGTTCTAATCAATGAGAAAATTCGAATGTAACAACCATTCAATGTTTACAATTGAAATATTAAAGAACTCTAACAGCTCTTTTCCTATCTTTCATTAGGAAATGTAACATAAAATTGCCCTGTGATAATACAAATAAATTTTAAATCTAGACGAACTTTTAAATTTCAACTATGTCAAAATAACAATGAGCTCGAATTTGTAGAACACACATGCATTGTTAGAACAGTCTCCCTGAAGCTGGCCTAGACACCACGAAAAGGGCACATCAGCTACAAAAAGTCAGATGTGTCCAATTAACGTGAAGACTAAAATTTGGGGTTGCTCTCTGGGGCTCCTCCCTGGAGCTGCACCAGGCAGGAGCCCCTGTCCTGTTTCCTCGTGCCCCCATACTACCAGTAGCACCTTGGGTTGCCTGCCATGCTTCCTAATATCTAGAATAGGAACATCTCCAGCAGCCCCATTGGCTCCTTGGCCATGATGGGCAGCAGTATGTCCTTCAGCTGAACCTTCGGAGATTTAGAGTAGAGAAGAAAGAGTTGAATGTTGTTCATCATTTTAATAACCTGTGGAGTCCACAGGCACACCATTAGACTTTGTTCCCTTCTAGTTACCTTCAGATGATCACAAACAAGATTGCTCAGACTGCAGGCAACTGGCCTGTGGGCTCTGCCAACAGCCCACCCTAAAAGCTAAGTGGATCAATTGCTCGTGGATATAGCATTCACAGAACACTAGTTGGGAAGAAGTCTACCTTATGCTATAGTTTCAACTCTTCTCTTTACTGGCTCTTTTACTTTGTCAATTACTCTCAAATCTTCATGGAATTAAAAAAACAAAAACCAAAGCTAACCTTCAATTTATTCCTTATTTTTCCTGAAGCTACTATCCTATGTCTTGCTTTCTCCAAACACCTGAACTTCTAGAAAGAGTAGTCTCCATTGTCTCTGCATTATTCCTAACCACTCTTTTCTCAACCCATTGTAATCTAAGTTCTAATGAAACTATTTTTACAAAAGTTATAACCTCTTTATTTCTATGTTTAGTGGATAGTTCTCAGCCCTTATCAGCATTTGACATGGTCGGCCATTCCTTCTGTTTTGGAACATTCTCTTTCCTTGGCTTCTATGACATTAGATTTTGAGCAATAAGTATTTGTTGAACATTTACAATGTGCCAGGTACTCTTCTAGCACTGGATAGTCTCTGATGACATGAGTATTAATGAAAAATTCTGAATCATAATTGTGATTATGGAAGTGCAAGAGTTCATATGCAAAGACAAAATTTTTCTTGACACTGAAATCGAGGAGGAACTTATTACATGGGTTTCCATTTATACGAATTAACAAGTACCCTAAACAATTCCTTCATAATTAATTTTTAAAAAGTAATGTCTAACAAGCAGACATTTCTTATGCTGATATTTCATTAGATCTTAATTCAGTCGAGGTATTTCTAAGAGTTTTGATTTAATTTAATCCAGGTAGATTGATTTCTGGTGATCTTACAGTTCAAAACTAGAGCACCAAGGATCTGAAAATGAGTGTTAATATATTCTGTAGACTATCTCTCTCAAATGTGAAACAACTTCCAGTGACCTTAAATCTTTACCAGTTTGTGTTTGAATTCTCTGATTGTTGCATTGCCCAAAATACTGAAGGACTCAATAAACCTCTAAACACTAGCACAGGGGAAAGTAAAGACGGCAGTTTACCTTGAATGTGGTAGAGTTCTATTTGTTCCCACACAAAGAGCACCATGCCCTTTCATCAACTGAAATCAAACTTATTGATTGACTTGATTGCTGGGCAATCAGTGAGCAATGAAAAAGGTTGTTGTCAGGTGCCATCGAGTTGGTTCCGACTCAGAGCAACCCTATGTACGACAGAATGAAACACTGCCCGGCCCTGCGCCATCCTCACAATCATTGTTATGTTTGAGCCCATTGTTGCAGCCACTGTGTCAATCCATCCTGATGAGGGTCTTCCTCTTTTTCGCTAACCCTCTACTTTACCAAACATAATGTCCTTCTCTAGGGACTGGTCCCTCCTGATGACATGTCCAAAGTATGCGAGATGAAGACTTGCCATCTTCGCCTCCAAGGAGCACTCTGGTTTTACTTCTTCCAAGACAGACTTGCTCATTCTTCTGGCAGTTCATGGTATATTCAATATTCGTCACCAACACTGAAATTCAAAGTCATCAATTTTTCATAAAATTTTTTTCAAAAAATTTTGCTTTAGCATATAGCTCACCTAGAATGTCTAACTTTTTGTTCCATCTCTTTAAAAAATGTATTCAATAAATTCATTTAACAAATATTTATTGATTTCACACTATGTGCCAGACAGACGTGGTTCCTACTCTCATGGATCTTTTACTTTAGTGAGTGGAGAGAGAGAAAACAAATAATAGTTTTAGATCATGATAAGTGCTGTGAAAACAATAAACAAGGTACATGAGAGTGAATGGGAATACTACTTTAACTGGGTGGTTAGGGAAGGCCTCTCTGATGTGGTGACTTTCAGCTGCAAGCTGAGACAAGAAGTCATGTAAACATCTGGAGGATGAGTGTTCTAGAAGAGGGAACAGCAATTGCAAAGGACTTGAGCCCTGAATGAGCTTGAATAGTGACTACTAATATTGATTATTTTAGGAATACATTTGGGAGTATCAAGACTTATAAGTCTCTGTCCTAAAGGAGTTCTGTAGCAGAGACAGAAATAAGCCAAAAAAAAAAAAATCACAGCAACAGTGCAGAACTACATAGCCGTGACAGAGTGTGTGCCAGGTAAAGTGGTGCTAAGAAGGAGAAGTGGTTAGTTTTCCTCCTGGATCAGGAAAGGCTTCATAGCGGAGATGATGTAAAAGCAGGATTTTGAAATATCAATGGAATTGACAAATAGAGGAAAGTTTGGGGGGGTTTTGGATTGATTCAGGCTTAGAGAATCGGGAGTGCAAAGGCCTACTGACTGTGTTTCATGTTAGTACCCACTAAAGTATTAAAAAAGGCTGACGAGGCACAGAGGCAAAGCCGTAAAGGACCTTACACTCTCTGTATAATGGAAGCAATCAAAAGGCTGTAAGGAAGAAACCACAGGGTAGGACTTGTGTGTTAGATGGATCACTGTAGGATGTCTCTCTTAAATACACCTGTTGTGTGCTGTAGAGTTGATTGACTCATAGTGATCCTATATGACAGAGTATAACTGCCCTGCAGGGTTTGCAGGGCTGAAATCTTTACAGGAGCAGATTGCCAGGTCTTTTCTTCCAGGGAGTGGGTAGGTTCAACCGACTGACCTTTCTGTTAGCAGCCAAGTTCTTAACCATTGAGCTCTAATACTGAGCTCCTGACTCAAGCAGGTGCTCAGTATTTGTGGAATTAATAAACAAATGGTGATTGACTGGTGTGGGAGTATGATGTCTGATGAGAAATCATGAGCCTCACACCAAATGTAGATTCTCTCATTGATAGAGCCACTGAGTGCTTAAAACCTTTTTAAGATGCTGTTTTAATCCTAACAACCCTACGAAGTAGCTATTGTTTCCATTTTTCAGCTGAGAAAAACTTGAAGCTCAGAGAGGTAATGTACTGTTGTCCAACATTCTAAAGCTAAGCTGTCCCACCTAGGCTCAAACAGGGTCTAACTGATTAGCAAGCGTACACGCTTAATAATTACTTTATAATACTTAGCCTATAGAGCCCTGGTCGTGCAGTAGTTAAGAGCTGGGGCTGCTAACCAAAAGGTCCCCAGTTTGAATCCACCAGCTGCTCCTTGGAAACTCTGTGGGGGCAGTCTACTCTGTCGTATAGGGTCACTATGAGTTGGAATTGACTTCACGGCAATGTGTTTGGTTTTTTTTTAAATAGGGTAAAAGAATGAAATGTATTAATTATGTGAAGCCTAAAAATACAGAAATCCAAGAAAAGCTGGTAACTTTTAGCAAAGGGATAAAACGGAGCTCCAGAACCTTCTGTTAGCCGAACACTGCAGTATCACCCAGGTGCGGAACAACCGCCTGAAGTCAAGCCTTCCTGGGCGATTTAGTGAGGAGGTGGGGCGGGGCTTTCAGCCCGTGGCGGCACCTGCGCAGCCGCAACGCAGCTCGGGAGAGTCAAGGCCTAGGACGGAATGGAGGAGGGGCCAGTAGAGAGGCAGAGCCGACAGACGCAGGCGCGTGCGTCGGTTCCGAGGCAGCCCGCGCTTAGACGCCGCAGCGAAGCTTGACGTCACATCCTGTCATAGGTTAACAGTGCATCCGGGTTGCGGTCATTTTGAGCCGGTATCTGGGTGACTTCTCTGGACTGCAGAGTGTCCTCCCTCCCGCCCCCCCTCCCCCCCGCTTGCCCGTGCACCTCCAGCTTTACGCGCGCTTCCCCCCTCCCCCCGTCGTTGCCGGGCCTTCTGCCCCAGATTGACGGTGCTTGTCGCTCCATCGCTCACCGCTGTCGTCGGGAGGTGGGTGAGTTGACGCAGAGAGCCCCCTTCTGCCCCCACCTACCCACTCACAACCTCAGCTCACCCACCCAGCTACCCCCCACTTTCCGCCATTTTCCTGCCTGTGAGGGTGGAGCGATCGCGCCTCGGGTCTCGGGCTCATGAGTGCTGGTGACCAGGGAAGGCGACGGAATGTTTATGGAGGGTGTGGACGGGAGAGATGCGTAGTGACGGATGGGAGTGGGAGGGTGCTCAGTCAGTAATAGGTGGGAGACTAGAGTAGCGGCAATAGTGGCTGGGGGATGGAGTGCGGGAACCGACAGTAATAGGCCGAGAACGGTCCAATGTAGTTTTTTCTTTGAAATTAACAGATTAAAATGCTATTGTGTAAAGGGGCCTTGTCAACCCTAGTAGTCTCTTTTTAGGGTTTTCTAGCGTGCTACGTTTTAATTCTTCTGCGGTTGCTTTGGGATATAAGGAGTTTATTCGGGATATAAGGAGTTTATTCGGGATATAAGGAGTTTATTCGGGATATAAGGAGTTTATTCGGGATATAAGTAGTTTATTCAGCAAGGTCTATTCATGAATTTATCCTGGCCTTTCCGTTCCTTTTACCTAGCTAAGGGGCTGGCAAGTAATGGACCATTAGTGATGGCTTACTGAATAAATGAATTATGGAAGGGCCCAGTTGCTGTCCTGTTTGTGTATGTCATTTCCCGTTTCATGCAGTTTTTTTAACGCGAATAATCATGACTCTATAAACACTGTAAAATATATGGTTATCTGATCTGTTGGTGTCTTAAGTCCCGAGGCCTGGGTAAAAATAATCTAAATGAAAAAAATAAAAATGTTTATTCTTGAAATGCTGCACATTTTTTAAATCTCCTACATCCTTTTGGTTAGCCTAGCACTTTAACCATTGTGCCACTCCTTTATATTTTTCTTAGCCTCTGTTTGGAGGGAAGGGGGAGTTTGGAGGATACAGAATTTGCTGTTAGATTTACACCACAGGGAGAAAGACATGACGTCTTCTATTATTCCAGTTTTTTGGAGTACTGTTTTTTGGGAGAGGTTGCATGTTTCCTAATGACTGTTTCAAAGATGGCAAGACAATTCTTGCTTACTTTGGACACTTTATTTGGAGGGTCCAATCCCTGGAGAAAGACATGATACTTGGTAAAGTAGAGGGTCAGCAAAAAAAGGAGGAAAACCCTCAATGAGATGGATTGACACAGTGGCTGCAACCATGGGTTCAGATGTACCTCCTGTGAGGATGGCACAGGACTGGGCAGTGTTTCCTTCTGTTATACATGGGGTTACTATGAGTTGGAGTCAATTTGTAGGCAGCTAACAACATTTCATTTTGTAAAATTGAGGCCCAAAAATGATTTTTGAGATTTTTCCTCTTTTATTTTGGGGGAATTATCTTAATTATTGTGCATAGATTTATGAAAAGACCAAAATATAGAATAATGTGAAATAAACCAGCTTCAGGAGGGAAAATATGGCCATTGTTTTATTTATAGCCTTTTTTATCTTAATTTGATATTACTTGGTAAATACTTACAAAGCACCTATTTTTTTTTTTTTTTCCAGTTAAGGGCCCTAACATGAATAATCAGTTCCAAATTAATAGGGTTGTAACTTTTTCATTTATGTAACTATTTTTATGATGTCAAATACTTAAGATGTAGTGGTTAGTAAATATTTGTTGATTGATTGCCACGTAGACTAGTGTTTTTACTATGTCATAAATAATAAATGTTGACCTATCTCGTGATCGTTCCCAGTACTTAACATAAATGTTTTTGATGCAGGGAAGATGAATGGGAGGACTGATTTTCGAGAGCCGAATGCAGAAGTTCCAAGACCAATTCCCCGTAACTATCTATTAAGCTTTTATAATTAGAAACACTTGCTATGCAAAGAAATTTTGACTGCCTTGAGTGATAGCAGGGCTGGCTTCATGGGCATGTGACTTAAATGCAGTCACAGAGAGCCCTGTGCTTAGTTTAATGCTGTGCAGTTACCATCTTGAAATTCATAGTAATGATTTGAACAAGAGGTCCCACAATTTTCGTTTTGCACCAGGCCCCAGCACATTATGTAGCCAGTCTTAACTAGCACATTGTAGCATTAACTTCTGTTTTGAAGTCCAAGTTTGTTGAAAGTTTACAAGCCAGTTGTTTTATTACATGATAGAGAAATTGAGTGTGTTTTGTTAATATTTAGACTAAACTATTTTTTTAGACTTTTTTTTTTATAGAGGTGTTTTAATGTTTTCCGTTTTTCTTTGGTGAAAAGACATAGGGGCTGATTATATTCCAACAGAGGAAGAAAGAAGGGTCTTCGCAGAATGTAATGAAGAAAGCTTTTGGTTCAGATGTAAGTTAAATTTTCTGATCAACATAATTTGACCTTTACTACCTAAAATTATAATGACTGTATAGAACAAATTGGCAAACTTGTTGACGTACTGAGGTTGTTGCCAAAGGGGATTGATTAAGGAAATAGAGGTGAATTGTACACATCTTAAAGTAATAACTTACACAACTTTTTTCAAGACAGTAAAGTAATTTTGTCAATAACAGCACTTACTTAACATCCATGGATTATATCAAAACAGTCCAGTAAGGTTGATAACAATTATCCTCACTTTACAGATGAAGAAATTGAAGTTTAGAGATGTTAAATGAATTGCCTAGAGTTGCACAGTTGGTAAGTTGTGATGTCTAGACTTGAAGCCAGGTCTGTCTGAAATGGAAACTCATGATTTTAACTCAAGCTTTTAACCATTACATAATAAGAACTGGTTAGTTTACATTTTATCAGTGTGAAATGTTATTATACTGCCAGCTCTTGATTTCTGACTAGGGACTTTATACCTCAAGATTTTATTTTTTAAATACAGAGGCTGTTGAAAGTAACACAAAACATAATCTTATTTACTTTCAACAAAACCATAGTGTTGTGCCTGAAAAGTGCAATCCTTTCAGGTAAGGTAATCTTAACAAAAAAGGATGGAAAAAAATTATGTATCATAGTTTGGATGGATTTTTTGTTAAAGAAGGGCAACTTGAGCTATTGAACAAATGTACATTTTCATTAGTCAGCCTAGTATTTTTGCTTACAGTATGCAGGTTACTGTGATCGGCATATAAGTTTTATGAGATACAGTCTTTCTCTTAAAGTAGTTTTATGAAGTAGTTGAGACAGAGCTAAGGCATGAAACATTTCGAGAAAGATTAAGTGTATAACTGCAACAGGAATTTTAAAAAGATAATTCGAACTGACTTAGCTTAAATAGACTTTGTTAGAAAATGAGACTTAACAACTAGTAGGACTTAATTGAAGCAAAAAGGGGAGGGAGGATTTAGATGAAAAGGAATAGTGAGAGGAGGCACAGAGTCTACTATAACCTGATCTAAAGCCTTGAGGATGATCTGAATGGAGCAGAGACCTCTTGTTGGGGATAGAAAATAAAGTGTAATATCAAGGATTTGAAGGTTTGATTCATTATACATCTTAGGTTCTTGAGCAGAGGAGGTGATACATAATTTTTTTTTTTAATTTAAAGGAGACTAGTTAACAGAAGGATGAGAAGTTGTATTTAGTGTAATTGTTACGAGCTGTGGCAGTAACCTAGACATCGTTGTTGAGGAGATGTAGTTGATGATAGTGTCACTTGGACTGGAGAAGATGGGTTGGCAATGAAAGATTTTTTAAAGGACACGTAACAGGATGTTTAAATAGATTGACTAAGGAGGAATGAAGGAAAGGTAAGGTAATAACTTCAGAATATCCGGGTTAGGAGACTAAAGAATGACAGCATTACCGATCAAAAAGTGTAGTTTGAAGAAGTCCTTGTTTGAAGAGGGAAATAGTTTTAGTTTGGACATTTTGAGTTCATGGTGCAGCATTCAATTATGAAAGATATGTAAGCAACTAGAGATAGAAAGAAAGGTATACATGAGAAATTAGGGTTTTTGTTGGAGTTTGTTAGTGAATCCACCCAGGAATCAAGTGTAGAAATAAAACCAAAACTGATAACAGTATATATCATGTGGTTAATATTTAGGAATGATAGAATAAATAACAAAGTTTGGGTAGTACCCATGGATAAGGGAACAAGTGGTGGTAAAAGAATCAACAGAGATGTAGAGAGAGCAGTTAAGGTAGTAGGAGCTCTGGTAAAATCTTTTGCATTTTATCCTCAGTCTAATATTCAGAGACTTGCAAAAGTTTCAAGCCAGAAAGAACCTGAGTAAAAATTAGGTGATGATAATGTAATCTCTAGTTGAAGATAATTGTTTTAGATTCCTAGTCATAAACCAAAGGCTTTAAAAAAAAATTCTCATGGTCTATAGAATGGAATTAATGTATCAGAGACTCAGTTATACTCTGGCAACAGAGTTTTTTAACTTTGAGGGTTGCAGAGTAGAAATAGAATAAAATCCATTTTCAAGTCTGTTGATGACACAGAGAATTAAGAAGACAAATTTGGTAGATAGGGTTTGGGAACATTGTAATATTAGGCTAATGGCTACATAGATACAATGTCCAGATTTATTTCTTGCTGATAAAGTTATGTTTCCATATATGTTTAACATTTTAAATAGCTGTAACAGCATTATGTTAAAAGTACATTAAAAGGCAGTGATCAATAGGCAGGATACCCATGTATGCCTGATTGTTGTATGCCACAAGTAGGACATTGGTGTTTGAACAATAGAAGACTAATCGCTTATGTTAAAATAGATTAATCACAAGTTGGAGAGCAGAAAGCATAAGCATGTAATAAGGAAAGGCTAAAATGGCTTGTTAGTTATATATGTCATATCGAGATTACTGGGAAATTGCAGCAGCCAGAAAATTGATGCTTTAGTAATGATTGATTCTTAAAACAGATAACATAGGTGTTGCATACTGTAGTAACATCAAACGTTGAAAATATTTAGCACCTTGGCTGTAACTGTAGACCAAAGGAAATTCAACATAAAATTATCCGAAGCACTAATAGCCATGCATTGTACTTTTAACATTTGTATCTTCAAATGAGGATGTTCTGTGCAGTATGTAGGGTCCCTGGGTAGGTGGCTCAAGTAGTTTGCACTCAACTACTAACCTAAAGGTTGGTGGTTTGAACCGACCCAGTGGTGCTGTGGAAGAAAGTCCTGGCAATCTGCTTCCGTAAAGATAGCTACCAAGAAAAACCTTATGGAGCAGTTCTACTCTGCAACATATGGGGTCACCATGAGTTGGAATTGACTCAAGGACAATGGTTTTTTTAAATGCAGTATGTGATTCTGTATATATATGTGTATGTGTAATGGAGTCCTTGTCACTTTGGAGATTATCGGCTTGTGCCTGTTGATTAAATGAAAGACTGTTGAAAGTGTTTAGGAATTTGTAGGAAAAGCACTAACTAAGATAATTTTTTTATTTTTTTGAGGTCTGTTCAATATATTCATCATGGTTTAAAATTAGACTTGTTAGGGTAGGACCATTTTCTTTAAGGTGATTTTGTTTATTTCTATTCTCATCTACTTTCTGTTAATCTTAAAGTGTAACTGTGAAGGCATCTTATTTCCAGGTGCTTAAAACGAGGCCCAATGCACTCACAAAAAAATAAAACAAAGAAACAGTTCTGTCTGTGCCCAAACACACAGGTAGTGAGAGAATCTCTACATAAAGGATCAGTGTAATGCATATTACATATTACAATAGTCTTAACGTCTGGAATTACTGAAGAGGTGTGTGAATTCATATCTGTTTCATGCATCGTTTATAGATTCCATGAGTAATTTTTCGTGCATGTGTACTACTGGTTTTCGAATGAGACAGTACAGTATTTGGATAAGAGCATAGACTCTGGAGCCCAGCTGTCTGGATTCAAATCCTGTCTCTACCACATATTAGCTGTGTGACTTTGGGCAAGTTCCTGATGTCCGTGTGCCCCAATTTCCTTATCTGTAAAATGGGGGTAATAACACAGTCTATCTCGTGAGATTGTTATGAGGATTAATTCACTTTATTATATGTTTTAGCTAGCTTTATTAAATGGCTATTGGTGCTATTGTGATTAATGAAATAAAAGCTTGATTTGAACGAATTTAGAGTAGCATTTTGCTTTTGTGAGGGGATAAGAGTCATTTCATTTTTTTATGTATTGTTTCTGGGCACCTTTTGCTTTAAAACAGTAGTTGAGTGGTTGCCACAGATACTTTGTGGCCCACAAAGCCAGAAATATTTACCTTTTGGCTCTTTACAGAAGATAATTGCTGACCCCTCGTCTGGAGCTGCACTGTCCAGTATGGCAGCCACCAGCCACGTGTAGCTATTTAAATTAAATTAAAAATGCAATTCCTCAGTTGAACTAGCCACATTTCAAGTACTCCATAGCCACATGTAGCAAGTGGCTACCTGTGTTGGGAGTCCCAAGACTACCCCCATGTTTGGTGATTCACTAGGAAGACTCAGAACCGAGCATATAGTTGGACTCACGGCTAAAATTTATTGTATCAGAAGGGTACAGAGCAGAATCAACAAAGGGAAAGGCATATAGGATGAAGTCCAGAAGAAAGCAGATGCAGGCTTCCAAGAGTCCTCTCCCAGTGGAGTCGCATAGGACACAACTCCAGCAGCAAGTAGTAACAACGTGTATGAAGTGTTATCTACCAGGGAAACTCGTTAGAGACCCAGCTCCCAGGATTCTATGGGGTGCTGATTACGTAAGACACCTTCAGCCTACGTGTACCAAATTTCCAGACTCCCAGAAAGAAAGCAGATGTTCACCAAAAACCATATTTGTACAAGCAGTTTAGGCACCAAAAACCCAAACCAAACCCACTGCCTTCGAGTCGTTTCTGACTCATAGCAACCATGTAGAACAGGTTAGAACTGCCCCACAGGGTTTCTAAGTCTGTAAATCTTTACGGAAACAGACTGCCATGTCTTTTTCCTGCAGAGTGGCTGGTGAGTTTGAACCACTGACCTTTCCATTAACAGCCAAGAGCTTTAACTACTGTGCCACAAGGGCTCCTCTAGTTTAGGTACAGTGAGCCACTTATCATTTAGGGAAAATTTTACATCATTGTAGGCAGCTATCAGTTCACTTCCCGGATGCCAGCCAGGGACCAGCATTGCAAATAGGCCTTTCTGAGGCTAGCAGTCTCAGGTCAGCTATGTTGACTGTTTGTGCACACTAAAAAGCGAAAACCCAAACTCGTTGCCATTGAGTCAGTTCTGACTCAAAGCAACCCCACGTGTTACATAGAACTGCTCTATAGAGAGTTCTTGGCTGTAATCTTTACAGGAGCAGGTTGCCAGGCCTTTATTCCACAGTGCCACTGGTGGGTTCCAACTGCTAAGTTTTAGTTTAGTCTATCGCAAACCATTTATGTCAGCCAGGGACCTTATCTCTGGAAACTCTGGTGGCATAGTGGTTAAGAGCTATGGCTGCTAACCAAAAGGTCAGCAGTTCGAATCCACTAGACACTCCTTGGAAGCCCTTTGGGGCAGTTCTACTCTGTCCTGTAGGGTTGCTATGAGTCAGAATTGACTTAACAGCAATGGGTTTCGTTTTTTTTGTTTTTTTGTTTTAAAGGGACCTTATGTTGACTTGTTTCTGCACACTGTCTAATTGGAAGTCACAGATAAAGAATATTTCCATTGTTGCAGAAAATTCTTTTCGACAGTGTAAGTGTATAGAACAGTGATTCAAAGCTGTTTTTAAGTTATGAACTGCCTTGAGATTATGAGAGCTTTGGAAATTTCACTCTGGATTAATAAGTATATATAGACATAATTTCATATAGTCTTGAGTTCACTAGTTTAGAAGAACATTAGTATTTAAAATATAGCTTTTTAATTCTTGCCTCAGTCACCAAATGATTGTGGGCAGATTACCTTGTGTTTTGGTTCACTCAGTGCAACATGGAGCTTAAAAGCTTGAGACCTGCTGTCAGACAGACTTTATCAGAATCCTGGACCTGCCATTGAACTAGTTGTATGGCCTTAAACATGTTACTTAACATCTCTAAGCTTCAATTTTCTTATCTTTAAAAGGGGAGGTAACAACATTGCTTACCTTAGAGATGAGGTAGATAAGGTGGTAAAAAGTAAATGAGATAATGCACTTAAGACACTTATGGTATGTAGAATTTAACTACTACTGTGTAGTGGCTCTTGTTTGTAATTTATTTCTTGCCTCTTCCTCCCTGTTATTTATTTATTTTTTTCTCCTTCCTCCAGAAGTAACTTCTGGTCACTATTTACTATGTTGTCTTTTTTTAATAATAATTTATTGAGTTTTTGGTGAAAGTTTACATAGCAAATTAGGTTCCCATTTAACAATTTCTGTACATATTGTTCAGTGATATTGGTTACATTTTTCACAATGTGTCAACATTCTCATTATTTCCATTCTGGTTGTTCTGTTTCTATTAATCTAGCTTCCCTGACCCCCCTTACCTTCTCATCTTTGCTTTAGGGTAAATGTTGACCGTTTGATCTCATATAGTTGTTTTTTTTTTTTTAAAGAGCGCAGTACTCACTGATGATATTGTTTATGAGACTGTGTTGTCTTAATTGACATTAACCCATTGCTGTTGAGTCAATTCTGACTCAGAGCAACCCTGTAGGACAGTGTAGAACTACTGTATAGGGTTTCCAAGGAGCAGCTGATAGATTCAAACTGTTGACCTGTTGGTTAGCAGCCTGAGCTCTTAACTACTGCTGCACCACCCGGGCCCCTAATTGATACCCTCTTTCCATCTCCATTGCCGTTGAGTCAATTCAAACTCATAGCAACCCTAGAGGACAGAATAGAACTGCCCCATAGGGTTTCCAAGGAGCAGCTGGTAGATTTGAACTGCTGAGCTTTTGGTTAGCAGCCTGGGCTCTTAACCACTGTGCTACCAGGGCTCCAGTTGATATTGATGAGTGCTGTTTTGTAGTCATCTAGATTTAAGATGGTTCTTGAGTTAAATTGTTTAGTATTTTGATGCTTTTTTCAAAAATTAAAATGTTCCTTTTATTTTTCCTATGACTGTGTATGGTACAACTTTTAAAAATGAAAAAATCTCTTTTACAGATCTTAATTGTGCAACTTGCTTCTTAGATGGTTTTACTGATACTTATCTACCCTAATGAACACAGATAAAATCTTTTCCTTTTGTTGATGTTAACAAGTTCTTTTTCTTTCATAGCTGTGCCTTTGGCTGCAACAAGTATGCTGATAACTCAAGGATTAATTAGTAAAGGTAAATATTTAAACTTTGAATTTATTTAGTACTTTGGATATCATGTTTATGTCAGTTTCCTGATTTTTAGATAGAATAAGTAAACATTATCATTGATGAACTTCTATGATATCACAAGAGTTATGTCTCCATGGACCCATTGACTCATATATCTTATTTTCAAAATTTAACGTCCTCCTGTACTATATCATGTTTACAATCTATAAGAGCAAGAAAGTAAAACCCTGGGGATGGTTTGCAGAGAGGTAGAGAGACAGATGTCATCTAGGTGAACCAGCAGTATCACTATCATTTAGGAGCTTATTAGAAGTGCAAATTCATAGGCCCCATCCCAGACCTGCTGAATTGGAATCTTCGTGGGACCTGGAAATCTGTTATAACAAACTCTAGGTGATTCTTATGTGCTAGTTTAGAGATCAGTAGCTCCCAAAACCAGCTCTGCCTCATAGTCATCTGGAAAGGGAGGGGTGTGACATTAAATAAAAAATTAGAATCTCAAGAATCTGGCAGGTAATCTATTTTTAATAATTTCCTGCAGAGACTTTCTTGTTTTATAGTCTGCTGGCTTAAATAGTATAATATATTTGTATGTGGAGTTGAGTTTAGATTAAATATTAAATGTATCAGTCTCTATATCTTAAAATTTAGCGATGTAAGCCATTGAACTGCTCATTATTATTTACTTTGTGAACTTATCTACCTGAGAATGGGAGGTTATCTGAGAAACAGGTGTCATGACCTTAGAATGGCCTCCACACGTCCTAAAAATGGCTGCTTTGAATTGATTAGTTCCTCCTAAAATGTGACTAGGAGGTTTAAGCCTTTCTCTTTAGCAGTCTGAAGTACTTAGTAGTCTTGACAAAACTAGTTGAGAAAAGTAGTTTTGGAGGAAAATGGGAGGATCCCCCCCTTTGATTTAAAAAATATATATTTTTAAAGAACTCCAAAAGAACCTCATTAACAGTGTCCTACCATGACAACAATCTTAAATGGGGAAACAAGTCAGGATATATGTGCATGTTATATGTCCTTTAGGACTAAGTGGTTGTATAGACTGGGTTTGGTTCTATATTGGGAAAAATTTTTTTAATTGTTACTTTTAAGGAAAAACTGGCACAAGGAGTTATTATGAGGGGAGAATTTATAGTGTCTGTTATTTTACTTGTATTTTTTCTGTCCTAATCTAATTTGTCATTTAACTAGTGATGATTGAAGTTAGGCATGGAGGGGTCATACAAAAGAAATTTAAGAATTGTCAGTAGTAGTTCATCTGAGGAAACAATGTACCCAGACATTGAAGCAAATAGGGAATGTAATTGAATGCTTAATTAGTAAGCTACTGAATTATGTAGTAGAGATTCCAAGAGCTGCAGGTGTTCAAGGAAAAAAGGTCTCTGTAGGGCTGTTATAATCAAGAAAGTTTTTTTGGAAGAAGTGAATTTTGAAGGATGGGCAAGATTTAGATCAAAGGAGAAGGAAGAATATTTGCAGGAGGAGGGACCTTATGATTAGAACAATAAGGAGGACTATTGGGACGGGCAGTCAGGAGACTGACCTGGCTACAGTGGCAAAATCATTCGGGGTGGAATGGAAACTCCATTAAATTGCTAAGGTAGAACCAGAGGAAATGGTCATTTTGACTAGGTTTTGAAGAAGAGACTTTAGAAGATGAGTTCAGAAATCCAATAAGACATTTTGCATTTAATCAAAATGCCTTGTGTTTTGTATGTTTTCATCCACAGTGTCTCATATTCAACATACTCTTAACTGCTTCCCCCCTACTCGTTCCCTATCAAAACATACAAACATGTTGGGTCTCTTCTATCTTGAGAACATTAAGAGGAAATATCCTTTCTCACATCCCTTTCCAACTGCTCCCAGCTACCTCCCATGTGAAGCCAAACTTCTTGAATGAGCACTTAATTTCTTCTTTTAAGCCATTGCAGTCTGTATCATAGATTATGGATATATTTTACCATTTACTGAATTTTTTTTTTTTTTTGGCCAATTCAATTTTTCATGTGTAATTCAGTGACATTGATTATATTTATGTTGTGCAACCATCACCACTATCCTTTTCCAAACTATTCTACCACCATTAAGAGAAATTCATTGCGAACTCCCCCTTTCCCCTCCCTCCTACCCTTGGTAACCACTGATAAGTGTTAGTCTCTATACATTGCCGATTTCATATAAGTGGGATCATACAGTATTTGTCCTTTTGTGACTGACTTATTTCACTCGGCGTAATCTTTTCAGGGTTCATCCATGCTGTAGCATGTATCAGGACTTCATTTCTCTTTATGGCAAAGTAATATTCTGTTGTATGTATATATCACATTGTGTTTATCAATTCATCTGTTGATGGACATTTAGGTTGTTTCCACTTCTTGGCTATTGTGAATAGTGCTACAGTGAACATTGGTGTACAGGTTTCTGTTGTGTTCCTGCTTTCAGTTCTTTTGGGTACATACCTAGGATTGGGATTGCTGGGTCATGTGATAGTTCTGTGTTTATCTTTTTGAGGACGTGCCAAACTGTTTTATACTACTCTGTACCATTTTGCATTCCCACTATCAATGAATGAGGGTTCCGGTTTCTTCACATCCTCACCAACACCTGTTATTTTCTGTTTTTTTTTTTTTTTTTTTAATCAGAACCATTCTAGTGGGGGTGAAGTGGTATCTCAATGTGGTTTTGATTTGTGTCTCCCTAATGGTTAATGAAGGAGCCCTGGTGTTGCAATGGTTAAGCACTTGATCGCTAACAGAAAGGTTGGCAGTTCGAACCCATTCAGCTGCTCCAGGGAGGAAGGCCTGGCGATCCGCTCCTGTAAAGATTGCAGCCTAGAAAATCCTGTGGGGCAGTTCTACTCTGTCACATAGGGTCCCTATGAGTTGAAACAACAATGGTTAATGATGCTGAGAATCTTTTCATGTGCTTGTTGGCCATTTGTGTAGTCTCTTTGGAAAAATGTCTGTTCAGGTCATTTGGCCTTGGCTATTCTTGACCCTTTGTGTTTCCACGTGATTTTCAGAATACACTAATTTTTGCAAAAACTTGTTTTGATTTGGATTGGGATTGCATTGAATTTATAGATGAATTTGTCAAGAATTGTCATCTTCACAACGTTAAATATTTCAGTTCATGAGCATAGTATTTCTCCATTTAACTTTTATTTCTCTCAATAAGTTTTGTCACTTTCCTATATACTCTTGACATAAGCTTAAAATTCTAGTGAAACCTACTGCATGCCTTACCTTAATTATGTAAATATCTTTAACAATTACTGTTGCCAAGAAATATTTCTTCTTTTATCTTTAGGAATCCTTTCAAGTCATCCCAAGTATGGTTCCATCCCTAAACTTATATGTAAGTGTGAAACAAAACTATACTTTTCTTAGTTGATACTGTCTAAGAGTATACAGGTTTTTTTTAACCTAAGTAAAATCATTAGTTTTTATCAAATGCTTTGTTATGGCTTACTCATGATAGAGTTATACAGTTATATGCGCTGATAAATCAGTTTGTTTAAGCTCTTAATTAAATGGACTACATGAGCATTTTATTATTAGCATTAAAAATCATGAGTTACTCAGAGACATTTTTTTCCTGTTTTTATAATGTAATAGGAATTATTGAATTTATTTTGTAAATATAATGGTATTTAAAAATAAATTCTCTTGGTCTGTCAGTAAGGTAAGAAAGTTGTCTAGATAGTCTCATTAATCGAAAGTGTTTGAAAATTAAACTTAATTTTTTAAAGAAGAAATCTCTTTAGCGTAACTTATTTACATTTTGCAATATGGTTAATAGAAAAGAAGCTAAATAGCCGTGAGAAAGAGTACCTGAGGCTTTCATGAATCTTTCAGGTTAGCCTTTTCATACTGATGGCAACAATAGCCACATTTAGGTAGTACTTCATAATTACTTTAAGGGATTTGTTGCACCTAATATTATCTTAATTTTAAAACAATCTTATGAAATTGGGCAGATGATATGATTCCTATTTATAGGAAAAGAAATGGCCAAAATTCCCATGACTAGGCTAGAACTCTTAATGTTTTGATTCTTCATTCATTCCTCTTTTTGTTCATTCTTTACTGTCTATATTAAGAATGTAATTAGTAACTTTAGAGTTGATTTGTGTGATAGCAGCTGTATTTTTGGAAAGTGAATTACATTCACAGAATCTGTGAACTATGAATTTGATTTAATGTGGTACTTTTACCATTATTTTAAGAATCTCAGTCTCCAAACCAAAGACACATTTAGAACCAAGCCATTTAAAAATGTTCTTTTAGAAATATTTTTGTCTAAGAAGGCACATTGACTCACACTGTCATGCTTTTTTTTTTTTTTTAAACAAGTTGCTTGTATCATGGGCTACTTTGCTGGAAAACTGTCTTACGTGAAAACTTGCCAAGAGAAGTTTAAGAATCTGGAGAATTCCCCTCTTGGAGAGGCTTTACGATCAGGACAGGCGCGACGATCTTCACCTGGGTAGGCCAAATTCTGATCTTTATTTAATGTTTTTTTAATTTTTAGCTTAAAAATTACAAGGAAACAAATATTGCCATAATTCAGGGCATGAAACATTGCCCAGGTGGAGACCATTGGAAACTTGCCATTTTGTTGTAGGTTAAAGCTAGTTTTATTTTAAAAAGTAGAACAAGACTTGGCTACCATTGTTTTAAATATAGACTTCCATCCTACTGGGACTATATGTCCTGGAATAAAGAATTGTATTTTGGTTTGACTTGGCAAACACCTTTGATTACTATATTTGGAGTTTTCTCTTGAATCCCCAAATTTTGTCAATCCTATTACTTAACAAACTTCAACTTTCCTTTTTAATGCTTCTCTGTTGTTTAAAACAGCAGGAAAATGAATTGAGTGGTAAAATATCTGTTTAATTTTCTTTAGGATATGTCACCTTGATGTTTGTTTCGATAATCCAGCTTCATAGAAACAATAATAATTCTTTATTAAATAATTTCAGAAGTGGTCTGGTATCTGAATACCTTGCTGGTATCATAAATTGGTACAAGTGTTTTGGATAGCGTTTTGTCAGCATATGTTGAGGGGGTTATAACATTTTAGAACTCTGAATTTTTTTACTTCTGTGAATCTAGTCAAAATGCAAACAAAAAATATAGGCACAAAGATGTTTACAATTTTATTTTAATATAGAAAAACTGGAATCAACTTAATTTCCAGTGAAGTGAAATGAATAGCTAAGTAAATTATCTCTATTAATAGGGCATTACGAAGTTATTTAAAAATATGATTAAGAAGTCTGTGAAGCAACATGATGAAATGTTTTTAATAAACTGAAAAGGGCAGAGTACAAAGTTATGCATACAGTTATCTCTCTTTTGAAAATATATTCTTGTAAAAATATTAGAAGATGATATACCTCCCATATCAACCAAGATGATGAATGATAATGGTGTGTTTTATAGATTTTTTTCCCCCCTTATTCCAAACTTTCTGTAATGGGATCATTTTACTTATAATTAAAACAAAATAAATGTTTTTAAACTTTCAGATGTTAAAAATTTTAAACTCTTAAGTCCTAGTAAGTGAAACAGTGTTTAACCCTCTTAGTGGTTTGCTTCAGACTGTGGTTTGATTTTTGTGTTGTGTAAGTATGGATAAGTGAATCTGTCTATCTGGATGATAATAATAATAAGATAATTAAGTGGATTGGTAGATAAATTATTATAAATGGCAAGCAATGTAAACCAAATTCGAGATAATATTATTCCTGTATCTGAATTAGCAAAATAGTGTCTGTGTGGACTGCTGGCTGTAAAAGTAACTTCCCAGTTAATGTGGGAAATGGACATATTTGCTGAAATTAGACCTAATTTGAATGAGTACTCTTTTCTTTCCAAGAAACTTTAAAACACCTTAAAATTATCTCTAAAGCATAATGATTAGAAAATTGGATGCAGATTTTTTTTAAGTGACTATTTTCAAGTTATATGGTTGGGTAGGACATATTTGTAATGTTTTCGTGGTAGAAAGAGACTTGTTTATAAATAAGTATGTTAAAAATTATATGGTTATTTTGGGGAAAAATAACATTTTAATACCTTAATATAGTTCTTTAAATAAGGTTTAAGCAATGAGTCATATTTCCTATGTAGTATGATTTTCTTTTTCAGGCACTATTCTCAAAAGTCAAAATATGACTCAAATGTCAGTGGTCATCCATCTTTTGTGACATCCCCAGCAGCAGACAACATAGAAAAAGATACACTTCCTCATTATGAGCCAATTCCATTCAGTGCTTCCATGAATGAATCTACTCCCACTGGTATTACTGATCATATTGCCCAAGGTAGAAACTTCTCTTGAAATGAATTTCAGCATTTTATGGTCCAACGTATGTATAAACTTTATTTGATGAACTTTTCTTCTGGATATCGTGTATGTTCCACTGTCAGCCTAAACTCAACATGTTTGTTTGTTCATTTATTCATTTGTTTCTTTATTCAACATTTCTTGAGGACCAGTAGGTGTCAGGTACTCTGCTAGATATCAGAGAAATAAAGATGAATAAGATCTGGCTCTTGTCTCTTGAGAAACTCTCGGTCTCTTTGAAGATCGCACATTGTAAGTGAAAGAACACAGACTTTGGGTTAAGATCTGGGTTTGAGTCGTGACTGACATTTGCTAGCTGTGTGACCTTGGACAAGTAACTAATTTTTGTGATCCTCTCAGTTTCTTAATCTCCTGAATGGAGATACAATACTTCTTTTAAAAAACTGTTGGAATTACATGAGATAATCAGTGACAATGCCTGGCAAGTAGTAGGCTCTCAGTAAACATTAGTTTTCTTCCTTTCTTCAAACTAATCTTCAGTGAAAGATTGAGGAATTAGAAACAGGAAGTGTACAGATCAACAATTCCTTATCTGAAATCCTAATTTTAAATAATTTGTGATAAAATCTGACCTGAACTCACTTGGCAGCAAACCCTGACCTGAACTAACATAAGGCTGTTTATAGTTTTAGTGTGATATCTTCACTAGATTTCACTGTAGAAATATTAATGTATTTGCTTTCTCATTGCTTCTTCAAATTTCTGACTAGATGGACATTAAGCAACGTAAGAGATAAGTATTGTAATACTTTTCTAAAATCTGAGAAACTGAATTGTGAAACACACATCTGGGTTTTGGATAAGGTATTGTGGACCCCTGTAGAGTACTCTTTGAAAAAGCCTTCTTTGAACAAGGTAATAAGCCATTAACTGTGGAACACACACAAGGTTAAAGGAGGGATTTTGTTTCTTTAAGGTGGGAGAGATTTAAATCTATATGTAGGTTAAAGGCAGTAGAAGAAATTGATTATAGGTCAGGTAAGGTTCTAGAGGATGCAGAAGGGGTTCTAGTAGGTCAGGACATACAGTAGTCACTAGCCATATGTAGCTATTTAAATTAATTAAATTTAAAATTCAGTACCTCAGTTGCAATGGCAGCATTTCAAGTGTTAGTGGCTACTGTATTGGGCAGTGCAGACATAGGACATTCCCATTATTGCAGGAAGTTATATTGGATAGTACTGTTTAGAGCAAAGGAAGAGGGAAGCTATTAACCTTAGAGCGAAGAAGAGACAGGAGACAGTGGAAGTTAAGATAATTAAAGAGATGCTTAATTTTGGATGAGATGATTTGAGAGTCTCTTAATCCTCAGTTTTCCCTCCCCTGTGAAGTAGAAATCAAAGACATCCAATTAGAAAGGGAAGGGGTGAGATAGGCAGATAAGAAGAAAGTGCTTAAAGTCATTGTGTTTTCTCTTTGTCCCTCACTGTTTCTCATTTTCCCAGAGTCTCAAGGTCAAATCCATTCTACTTGTACTCTAGTCATTAACCAATTCTTCCTTTGTAATGATTTGTATCCTTCCTTCCATTTGCATTAGGAATTCTATGTTATATAATTTGTTTTCTACATATAAGTAAACAAAAAGCCCTTTGATATCTGCCCACATCCTAGGACAAGATCCATATTTGAATGTCGTATGCCCTCCACAACAGCCGCCCATCTGTTCACTGCTCTGCTTTCTGACTCCCCTCTCTAAACCAAGCTAGACTCTCTTCCACTCCTCTCCACAGGGGTCAGCAGTGGCCTGCCTTTGCTTTGCCCCAGCTGCTGTCTTCCCATACCAGAACACTTTCCTTTGGTTTAAGTCCTGCCTGCCCTTTTTAGTTCTGCTTTCTTTTACCAGAAATTCAGAGTTTTTCATCTTCCAAAGTCTAAAGCACTCCTCATAGCTGTTATGACACTTAGTTTATTACAGTTAAAGTCAGTGCTGTTTTACATTTTCGTATTCCTTCCAGCTCTTTATAACCTCCCTAAAATAGTAAATCATACCCCCTACACAGGGCAAGTGGAGCAGTGGTTAAGTGCTCAGCTGCTAACCAAAAGGTGGGCAATCCACCAGCTGCTCTCTCGGAGGAAGATGCGGCAGTCTGCTTCCGTAAAGATATACAGCCTTGGAAACCTATGGGGCACTTCTGCTCTGTCCTGTAGGGTCACTGAGTCGGAATCGACTCATAGGCAACAGCTTTGGTTTTTTGGTGTGTTTGTTGCTGTTGATTACACAATGCAGAATATTTTAGCTTGGTTTTTGTAAGTGGAGAAAACTCTTCACAGTCCTCTTTCTGTTTACATTTTCATTATATATCACAGAATATCAAAACAATAAAATATTTTTCTTTTGGATAAGAAAAAATATTAGACCTGGAAGAAACTTTAGAGATCATGTAGTCAAATTTCCATATTTCACAATTGAGAAAACCAAGAGTTAGTGAAGGTTAGTGATTTGCCCAAGGACATTCACTAGTTGTTGGCAGAGTGGGGGCTAAGAATCCAGGGTTCCTGACTACTAATCTACTACGTACTGTCTGTCTTAGAAGTTTTTAAATATCGTTTTTGGAGAAGGGAAATTAGTTCAACAATTACTCTTGTAATATAAATGAAATGTAAAGTGTTTTTAAACCTAGTATAAGTTTATATTATTATTCATTACAGTCTTCTTTAGCCAGAAAAATTTAGTTATCAACCATAGTATAATGTTAGAATTTTAATTGAAATTTAAATCCTTTTTGCTTTGAAACATTGCAGTTTACATTGCAACAAAATAAAAGGTTAAGGTTGAAAACATTATCTAATGTATAGTTATATTTCTTAGAAAATTCTGATTATTCACTGGGACCTTACCATTGAGTTCCAAAATAATATCACTTACATAAAAGGTTTTAAAAAAAATTATTTTAATTAATATGATTACATTGAAGTGATATAGCCAATTTGTATGTCATCGAAAATGTTTTTGAAAAAATACTACTTTTGGTATGTTGTGAAAGACTTTGTAAATTAAGTTGTTCACTGAATGTTTTGTTAGGATTAATTTCTATGTTTATATGGCCTTTTTTTGCCTGGTTATGAGATTTACAAACTGTGTTCAGTATTTGGTCCTGTTACCCAAAATTAAGAATGACTATTTCCTTATTTAACATCAGTATTTGACTCTTTGGTAATATATATTGTTCATACTTTGACGCTAACCATTGGGAGAAAGAATAAATACTGGTTCCCAGGCACAAATTATAGTTGGCACTTTCTTCTGCCTCAGTGTTGCATCCATTAGACCAAAGTGAAAACGATGTATACTATGATTAAAGGCTGTGTTTTATACTTTTCAGTAGTTATTTTCAAGTATTTTTGTTTAATATAGAAATGGAAAAGTAATTTTTAAAAATAGTTGGAGTTGCTTTAACATAGACTATGGTCATAGCAACATTTAACTGGAAATACTACTAAATAAAATAAAAGCTATGCTTTGTCAAGTTTTGTTCAGTTGGTCACCAGTAGAATATAATCTCTTAAGTTCCATACACAGTATGAATAACTTCCCAGTTTAAAACACTGTCCTTTTAATGAGTTTAAATTGTGCTGTTACGTCTTATAGTGTCCATTCTTTTTCTGGCCATGGTTAAATTTTTTTCAATTTTTGATACTGATTTTAAGTTTTAGAGATAAAACCCTTAAAGTTGAAGTGGAAGTAGAATTTAGTTATTGTAATTATCTTGGGGAAAATATAGTACCTTTCAAATGGTGGTAATAATTTGATCTTTTATTTCATTTCTATTTTGATTGTAGGCAAGGAGCATTTGCAAAATTTAGTTGCTTTGGACTTATCCAAATCCTTTTATCACCATTTATTAACTGTTTGTTGTTTTAGGACCTGATCCCAACATTGAAGAAAGTCCTAAAAGAAAAAATATTACATATGAGGAATTAAGGAATAAGAACAGAGAGTCATATGAAGTAACTTTAACACAAAAGACTGACCCCTCAGTCAGGCCTATGCAGGAAAGAGTGCCAAAAAAAGAAGGTATGATAGTTTAGTCTAAATCACTTTACTTTTTAGAATTGGAACTGTAACATTAGTTAAAAACATTAATTAATACGTGATTTAATTCCTCTGGTAATTAACCAAAATTTAAAAAAATTTTAAAGAATAGTTACTTCACATTCATCAGTTCTTCCATTTTTAATGTTTTTCAAAGGCCATTCTGTGTTAAAAATAATGAAGTCCTAATAGTAGTATGACTTAAGACAGTGATACTAGGTTTCTAATACAGTTTAGAAATTATACATTCATTTGACTATTTTTCCCTTAGAAGAAGTAACCTTGGGGATCTCTATTTTTTTCTCCCCCTCCCTAATTATGCATCTGTTGCATAAAGCCAGATCTGGTGATCTTAGGTTGATAATTGGGCTATAGCCCCTTTTGGCAGAACCACAGAATCATGATTAAGTAATGAGACTGATTTTCTTCTGTTAGTAAAACTGAAGTAGAGTTATATGACTTACAAACTAGCTTTAAAGGAATTTCCAAAAGAGGAATTTGACTTTTTTTTTTTTTTTAACAGTATTGTTGTTTTATAATTATAAATTTTAAGTTATGTGGTAGAAAATCATAGTTGATCTTAAGTCCTTTTGGACAAGATATGCATTGCTCAGAGTAAATTTTCAAACAAAGAAGTTTCCTTCTAATGGAAGAGTGAATTTTCAATAGAGTTTTGTAGCTATTTCAGTATAAAATTTTGTAATTTCTCTCAAGAAATTTTAGGAGATGTATCATCGTTTCAAAGTTTTCTATTTATTACTGTAAAAATGGAGGAAGGACTAGGTCGTTGGTACCTTCTTAAGAGTCATATGCCACAAAGAATGCAAAAATACGTAAAAATCCTTAGTATTTTTTATTATGATTATTTAATTTTATTTGTAATTGTTAATGGTGGTTGTCATTTAGAATTCTAATTTGTTTTTATAACAATGATGGATAATAATACCTTTGTGATATCATTGATGTAAAAAAATTAGCTTTGAAATAGAATTGTAACCTACAAAATTGTTTAATATTTGTCATTTAAAAAATATTTAACATAAATCTTATGCATTCAGTGGCCCTTACTCTAATATGTAAAGATGCATATTGGTGCTTTGTTCTGCTGATTGACTTGATGTGAGAGCAGGAAGTAATATTTTTCTTATTTTTGTCTTTTCTATCTATCGTATGTCTGCATAGCATAGTGCCTTGCACTGAAAGATCAGAAATAGAGGATGTTGGTTGGACCTTCTGTGGTAATAGAGGTTAAGAAAAGGAAATGTGGCCCTTTGGCATTTGCCAGATTTTGATTTTTGTGGTTTTGACTGTGAACAGCCTTGAAGTTCTGTTATATGACATAATAATGTGATCATTTGTTTTTTTCATGAAAAGAAAGCTGATTTTTTTTGTACTGTACATAATTTCAAGATAAAAAGCCAGTTGTGAAAGTGTCAGTGAATGTTCTAGAATGCTCTGTTCTAGAATCTAGACAGAAAATATGACATTAGTACAGTAGTACATTGTAGATTACAGGGTCAGAAAGTTTCACTGAAAGTATTGTTGTATCTTATGGAGGGAAATTGTAGATTATTTGGTATTCTTAAATTTGAGATTTTGGCGAGTTATGGACTCTATCCCGTACAAATGGTCAGTGTCTAACTGTAATATGATTTATAATGTACTTACAATTGACATTTAAAAAAAAATTCTATTCATCCCTTAAACAGGTAAATCAAGGAGTAGTATTTCATTATAAAACATTGCTTTGCTTTGCCAAAAAAAAAGATAAATTTCTCTTCAGTGTAAGTGAATCACTCCTTTTCAGATATAATTTGATTTATAGACAACTTTTTAGGACTATGTTTGTTGAATAAAAAGAGGTACATGTGCCTTAGACAACTAGGGATGATAATAGTACCTTCCTCATAGGATTGTCATGAGAATCAAATGAGTTAATGTATGCAAAGCACTTAGAATAGTGACAAGAATAAACTTTGATTAATCAAACTAAAAGTACATTTGTTCAGAAAAAAATAAAATTTCACTTTTTTGTTAATAGTATCTTACACATGTAGCCACTTTTAATTTTTTATGACAAGTGACATTGCTGGCTTCATATAGTGTAGTTTCATCACAATGATGTGTGATGCCTTTTTTTTTTTTAAAGATAAATACTGTTATGTGGAATGAAATCTGTTGTGTTTCAGCTGGGCTAATTCATTAGCCTTTTTTTGTTGTTTTTCTTCTCATGAAATGCTGTTTTTTTTAGCACATCGAAGTATAAAATGTACAATGTTAATCTTCCCATTTCTGCCTTAATTGCATGAACTATTAATGCAGTAGTTTAGATCAGAAGTTCTTAAACTTTTTGGTCTCAGGACCTCCTTAACATTTTAAAATTTATTGAATACTCCAAAAATTTCTTGTTTGTATGGATTATATTTATTGATAACTACCAAATTTGGAATTAAGACTAATTAGAAATTTTATTCCACTAGCTGTGAGAGCATTGATGTCATCACGCATCACGTAGCTTTTGGAAAACTATTGTATACTCATGAGCGAATGAGAGCAAGGGAAAAGGCAAAAGATGATGGGAAACGGCATGTAATGTCTTAGTATAATAATATAAATGGTTTTGACTTTGTGGATTCCCTGAAGGGGTCTTAGGTCCCTAGTCTACACTGTGAGAACTGCCTCTTTACCTTGTTATGATTAGTTTGGTCTTCTGAAGAGTTGTAATTCACAAATGAAGGCTATGTAGAAGAGAAGGCAGAGGAACATGTTTCCAAATATAATCTCATCTAAAATGTGCCAATATTGGAGACCACTTTCCTTTTGATAGTAGTACTACTGCTCATGGGAGAGAAGATTGAATTAACCACAACATGAAGACTTGACCATTTTTATTACTGTGTCTTTTGGGAAAAACAGAATTAAAATGTTCTCCCCCCACAACTCGGGGTTTAAAAAAAAATTTGTGCCGTAATATATGCCATATTTATTTAGGTTGTATGGTAAAGTTGTAAAGACATTCAGACTTTGGACTTAAACAGATCTGTGTTCACATTTCATTTCTACTTGTTTTATTAGGCTTGTACCTTGGGCAAGTTACTAATCTGTTTTCTCACCTTTAAAATGGGATTGTATTTACAAGTTTGTTTTGAGGATCAAATATTTGTGTAAAGTTCTTACATAGTGCAGTTAGTATTTATGTGCAATCCCCCATTCACAAGTCTGTCCAGCTGCTTTTTATAATTATATTTTGACTGTCATATGCTTTTATTCAGATGAGAGAAACACAACTTTTCATCCTTATGATTGCAGACAAAACAGTGCTGTTATTATGTGGAATCATCAATTGTTTGTGCTTTTTTCCTAGTCAAGGTAAACAAATATGGAGATACTTGGGATGAGTGAGAAATGACATCATTGGACCAACTGAAGGAGTTTCAGTATCCAGCTTCATCTAGGTGGTCATGAATATCTGCATGCTTTGAGTTCAGCAGCAGTCCTCATAAACATTTAAAGCTAGTGTTTTTGTGGTTTGGCTTATTATGTTTTAAAAAACACAGGTTTTAATGTTAATATTATGTAAATGTACTTGCCTTGGGGAACTATATGAATGGTGGTATTATACCATGACTATATACAGTTGTGAAATTGTTTTAAAAGTTATAGGGCAAAGTTACTTTTATAAAACCATCAAGAAATTGTAATGCTCTAGAATCAGTATATGTGAAAGTAAGTAATACTGCATGTAGACTTGGCGTAGGTGGGGTAGCAAGCATAATCGTAAATGTTAAGCTTCGCATCAAAAAATTATAAAAAATCTTTCTCCAGTTTTTGCTGTATTAATGTTTATGATAAATAAATGTAAAGGAACATGCAACAGCTCTCCATTTATTTTATGGTTTTATTGCTTGCAATTTGTTAAGTATAGTCATAAGTAATGGTGTTTTATAGTGATAGGAAATAGTCACCTGAATATTAAAATAATGATATGATGAAAGTGATTCATGAAGATAAATCGATATACAATAAACAGCTGAATGCCTTAAAAAAGCAAATAGTTGTGTTCAAAAATTTTGCAAATTCCAGGAGAATGAAAGTTTGGTATATTTTCCTCAGTATTGATCTGATGCTTATTTCTGGTTCAGGTGAGTTGAAAATAAATTTGTGATCTCATCTAAATTCTGTTTATTCATACTACATTTCTGCCAGAAACATAATTTTCAGTTAGCTATTGCTGCAAATCATCCCAAAACTTAGTGATTTAAAACAACAATCTTTATTACCTCTGGTTTTCTATGGGAATTAAGGAAGGATTAAGCTGAGTGATTCTGGCTCTGGTCTTAGGCCTGCAGTCAGATGGTGAATTGTGAGGAGCTAGAGCAGCTGGGGCCTGGCCAGGACATATCTCTCTTCATTTAGTTTCAGGACTTCACCATGCCATGCCTCTCTGTGGGTTAGTTTGGGTTTCCTCACAGCATTGTATGTTCAGGGTCGTCAGACTGTTTCCCTAGGGCTCTAGGGCAAATGTTCCAGCAAGTATGTCAAAAGGTACATTACCTTTTATGCATGACTTAACCTCAGGAGTCACATAGCATCATTTCCACACAAGCCTGCCTAGCAAAGGGAGGGAACATACAAGCCCCCCGACCTAGTGACATTTTAAGAACACGTGGGTTGGAAGATATTTGGACTTAACTTTTCACTCCACCATTTAGCCACGGTAATTTACATCCCACCCGCGTGCAAAATAAACTCATCTATTTTCCCAGGACGTCCAGATCTCATTCCTTTATAACATTAACTCAAAGTCCAGAAGCCCATAATATAATCAGGTCCAGGTGTGGATGAATCTCCTTGGGTATAGTTCCTTGAGTACCATTACTCTAATTTGAATATCTGTGAACTAAACAATTTATCTGCCCTCTTCCCCCAAATTCAGTAATACAGGCATGACATTAGTACTATGATGATCTCATTCAAAAGGGGGGAAATGTTAACTGTTGAGGAACAACATCCTTAAATACTTAAGTCCCGTTGTTGAAGGGGCAGAGTCTACAAAGCATGCCTTTAAGACCCTTAGCCTTTTGTCTGAAATATGAAGCACTGTCTTAGATTTTTTTGAGGTCTTGAACAAAAGTTCTTCCTGCCCCGCTTTGGACATGATCTTTGCCTGGAAACCATTTCAGAATATGAGAACCCTTTGCTGACTGAAAAGAGTGCTCCAAGTCCTTCATATTTTCTCCAAATTCCAATTGAAAACTAGATAATTTGTTCTTTGTATCATGCCTCATTTTAGGCAACTAGGAAAAGCCAAGTGGAACCCTCAACACTGCCTGAAAAATCTTAGATCAAGTTCATTTTCTATTTTCCATGTTGCTACAGGTGATAATTTTGCTACTTTGTACCTCTGTGTAATAAGGGTCTCTTAGCTTCCAACATTTTTCTCACTTTTGTTTTAAGCCCTGACCTAACTGATAGTCTCCCTGGAAGTTCTTTAGGCTTATGCTAACACCCTCCTGGAGACTTTTTAGGTTTTCACTAATACCTCCTCAAAGTCCTACCAGTACCTATCTGCTACTTGGTCCCCAAACCACGGTCGTATGTTTTATGTTTTTGTTACGGCAGCATCCTGCTTGTAGCTACCAAGTTTCTGCATTAGGGTTTGATCAGAAAAGCAGAACTGTTAAAAATGATATAGATTTAAGGATTTATAATGGGGATTAGACTTTAGGCAATGTAGGAGCTGGTGGATCAGTATCTGCAGGCTATTGTGTCTAGTGTTGAAATTTTTATAGACCAGCCAGTCTGGTAGTTAATGCTGGAAACTAAGAGAATAAACTCATATTTGTCTCACCACCTCCAATCTGGGTGCCACATGCTCTCGGTCAAAGAGCTCACACATATTTGGACCAGGTTTGATGAAGCTGAAGAGGGGGCCTAGAAGTACCTGGAGTCATTGCAGATCTAAGTGTTGCCCCATGCCAACAAGATGAGCTAGCATATAAGTGACAGCGTATGAACTGCCATTGTGCCTGGCTAGTACCTAATCTGAACTTCAGAGCATGAAATATATGGCTGTGATATACTTGACTGCAGGAATGATGGAGTATGGACCTCCAAAAATCTGTTCCTCCATAGAAGCAACAAGAATACTGGCAAAAATTGTCAAATCAACTTTAAAAAAAGTTTTCTTGCATTTTTTTATTGTAGTAAAATACACAATATATAATTTGCCATTTTAACCATTTTTAAGTGTACAATTAAGTGGCATTAAGTACATTCACAATGTAGTTTAACCATCACCACTATTTCCAAGCCTTTTTCATTATCTCAAACAGAAAATTTGTACCCTTTAACAATAACTTCCCATTCTTTTCTCCTATCTTCTTGTCTCTATAACAGTTTGTTCTGGTGGCGCAGTGGTTAAGTATTTGGCTGCTAACCAACAGGTCAACAGTTTGAATCCACCAGCTGCTCCTTGGAAACCCTATGGGGCAGTTCTCTGTCCTATAGGGTCGCTATGAGTCGGAATCGACTCAATGGCAGTGGGTTTTTGTTTTGTTTAGATGCCTCATATAAATAGAATGATACAATATTTGTCCTTTTGTGTCCGGGTTATTTCACTTAGCATAATGTTTTCAAGGTTCATCCATGTTGTAGCATGTATCAGAACTCCATTCATTTTTATAACGGAATGATATTCCATTGTATGTATGTACCACATTTTGTTTATCCAGTCATCTGTTAAAATCAACTTTTTAAGAATTTGAGATTTACTGAAAGTTGGCAACAATGGGAGTGTTTATTCAAGAAAAATGGCTGAATTTCTGTAAGAACAATGAGCTTTGGTAGTATTTTAACTTGACCTAATCCCATCCCCCTCTCCCCAGCTGTGCAGTGGCCTTGAAAACCAACAGCCCTGCAACTATGGTAGCTGTGAAAATTAGCAGCTGAAAAATTACCCAGTGGAGTGGGTAAACCAGGTCTGGAGCTCCCCAAAACCCCCATCCACAGAGAACTGCTACTATTCAACATGTCTGACAGCTTGCTGAAAAGCTCCATTCTCAAGTCTTCTTTGAGCTGAGTTACGGCTGCTCTCTGAGAATAGCTCTATCCCCAGGGCATTTTCAGAAACCATCAGCCACCATTTAACATTGCAGCTATCTAAAGCAGCATTATCACTTGGTGCTAATAAGTGGCTGACCAAAACACTTAAAAGGAAAAACTGGGGAATGAGATGTCCATACGGTGCGTTGAAAAACTCTGACATATTTGTGGGAGTCTAGAAGACCATGTGCATGCCCAAGACCTGAAAAGGCCTTAGTCTCTTAAGGTCTCTGACTGCCCTTGAGGCACTGCACAAGCAGGAAGTGCAGATTGAGGCAGAGTTGTAAACTGCCTGCTGAAGCATTTAAGCTGTACTCCAACACACATAGCCCCTCAGCAAGGCATTTCAGGAAATCTCTGTCCGGTTATTATCAGATCAGTAAGCTAACTGAACAGAGACTTCAATGGCCATATATGACAAAGAATACAGACTACAGAATTAGTCCAGGACAAACTGCTGTGACACCACCACCACCACTTACAACAACAAACCCTGGGAAACTCTGACTTTCAGAGTTGCCACATTACATTACTTAAAATGTGCAGTTTTCAACAAAAAATAATGAGACGTAGAAAAAAAGAAAGTATGACCCATTTATAGGAAAAAAGCGATCAGAGGAAACTGTCACTGAGGAAGTAAAAATGTTCAACTTACTTGATGTCATGGATTGAATTCTGTCCCCTAAAAATATGTGTGTCAATTTGGCTAGGCCATGATTCCCAGTATTGTGTGACTGTGCACCATTTTGCCATTTGATGTGATTTTCCCATGTATTGTAAATCTTACCTCTATGATGATAATGAGGTGGCACAGATGGCAGTTATGTTAATGAGCAGGACTCAATCTACAAGACTGGATTGTGTCTTGAGCCAATTTCTTTTGAGGTATAAAAGAAGCAAGCAGAGAGATAGGGGGACCTCATACCACCAAGAAAGCAGCACCAGGAGCAGAGTGCATCCTTTGGACCCAGGGTCTCTGTACCTGAGAAGCTCCTAGTCCAGGGTAAGATGGATGACAAGGACCTTCCTCCAGAGCTGACAGAAAGCTTTCCCCTGGAGCTGATGCTCTGAATTTGGACTTGTAGCCTACTAGAATGTGAGAGAATAAATTTCTGTTTGTTAAAGCAATCCACTTGTGGTATTTCTGTTACAGCAGTAGTAGATAACTAAAACACTAAAGACTTTAAATCAGCTATTATACATGCAAATAATGAAAGGAAACCATCTCTAAAGAATTAAAGGAAAGTATGAGAATGATGTCTCCAAATATCAATAAAAAGATAGAAATTATAAATAAATAACCAAATAGAAATTTTGGAGTTGCAAAGTACAAATAACTGAAATGAAAAACTGGAGGAGCTAAATAGCAGATTTGAACTGGCAGAAGAAAGTATCAGTGATCTTGAAAAGAGGTCAATTGACATCCAGTCTGAGGAACAGAAAGAAAAGAGAAACGAACAGAGCTTTACAGACCTGTAGGACACCATCAAGCCTACCAACAGACCCATAATGGGAGTCCAGAAGGAGAGGAGAGATAAAAGGACAGACTATTTGAATAGGGACTGGAAACTTCCCAAATTTGATGAAAACATTTATCCGCACACTTAAGAAGCTCAATAAATTCCAAGTTGGATAAACTCAGAAATCCATACCTAGCCCACATCAGAGTCAAATTTTGAAAGACAAAGGCAATCTTCAAAGCATCAACAGATAGGCAACTCATCACATACAACAGATACTCAGATGTATAACTGATTTCTCATCAGTAAC